CTATCAATTGACAGCCCAAACATGCTACGGTTCGTGCCCATTAAGCCCATGTGCAATTTCTGTGCCCCAATATATTCAGTTGATTCGATTTTAAATCGAGCATTTTGCGTCGCACTCGATTGTCTCAGTCGCCGCAGTTATCAGCGTTGGCATTAGGCACGTTATTGAAATGTAGTCGCCGTTGCGGCGATAACAGCTTTCAATAGTTGGCTGGGGGTTAGGCGGGGTTACGCGGGGTTCAAACCGGCCAGATTGCTGGCTATGAAATTACATATGTAGCTAATGTCAGTTGTTTTCATTGTTATTGTTGTTCTGGATGGCATAAAACAAAAACAATAGAAAACACTAAGCAATAATTGAAGTTGATGTTGAAATGGATTTGTGTTCTATTATACACATCAGTGGCAACTGTATTTAATCATATGAGTAATATAGATGCATATATAAATATATACATTGTTTCGTCATTTTGCGCACTCGCGCCTTGGCACACTAATCTATTCCGTACAGTTTTACTAAAACTACATAAAGTATACTTCGATTTATAAATTTCTTAAATATTCTTTGCGGCGAAAACAGGTTTAGTTCGTAACTCCGTATCTTGATGTTATTTAATGTATCTCTTAGAGCTTCAGCGAAATTCTTGATCATAGTATTTATAGTCTGTCTCATTAAATACTTGTACTTGTTTTATGGGTGATTAACTGATAATTGATACAGCCTTAGTAATTATATTTACATATATTTACTTATTAAAACGTGTGTATTGGAAACATAAAAAGTGCCTGAAGAGCTTATTATATTGAAAGATATACACAATAGATAATTTCGAAAATTAGATATTTGCTTATAAGTTAAAAAGGAAAACTTAAAACACAAATATGATGACAAAATCAACAAAAGTAAGTCTTAGTTCGGCATTTAATATTTATTATCAAAGCTCTCATGATCTTTTAGATAACTACAACAAAATCATCATACACTTATAATATCACATAGTCCTTTGAAGAAATATTATTTTATCAACAAAAAAAAAAACTAATGCAGAGAGTGAATTGATTTGATAATAAGTTTACCTCTTTTAAATACTCTCACATTAAAATTAACTGGTTTTTCCTGTTATTTTTTTCTCATATTTACATAAAACGACAATATTATGTCCAACAACCTTCAGCATGTGTGTTATCAGTGTAAAATGATATATGATATGTAGATACTATTATCAGTTTCCACTGATTAATGTTGAAACATAATTATGGCATTGACATTGACTTTCCGTGGATATTTGTTTATGTAAGGACTTACATGAAAACTATGCATTTAAAATTCAATAAAATTGGACATAAATGAATGATTATTAATTCGTATTGTACAAGAATATATTTATTTATGTTGTGCTAGGCACAGGTAATGACTACGAATTCAATGAATAACTATAATAATACGGTCTGCTCTGATATGCATAGATTTTACTGTACTGTACCTTGTCATGATTATATGCTAGATGTTTTATACAAATTGGCATTTTCATAGATCTCTCTTTGAGAATTTCAAATAAATATGTTCGAATTTATATTTAGGAACAAAACCAAAAAAACAAATTAGCTAAAAATAAAATCCAAATTACGTAGTTCGTGCAAAGTTTGCTTTCAGGCAGTCGCAGCAAACAAATACACAAAACATATATATAGTATTCACCTCTTGAAAAATCAAACAAATCTATATTTGTGTACGTGCCAAGCTTTATGTATATGTTGAAAGATATGGATAGAGGTACATCTATTATATATATACATATGTTTATATTTGGTTGAGCTTATGGAATAAGAACTCAATTAATTTCAAATTGTTTAATAGAAAACCTATTGACAACTTGTCAAATAATCCCTAAGCACAAAATCATAAACTAAAAGTATGCGTATATCCTATTTGGAATCCTATAAAATGTCTCTAAAAATCAACATCTCTGACTATTCTGAGTTTCATCTGAATACAAGATTAGAGCAAAGATTAGCAAATGATCATTACAATTTTTAAAATCGTTTTTTAATTGTTTATAAAATCATCATAAGCTTTATACGCAACCGTACATTTTTAATAGAACCTCTCTATGAATATTAATATTCGCGCTACACAAACTCAAAAATACAAAAAACAAGCGCACAGATAGATGTATATATATCTAGATACATATGTATCTATACTTAGTTAACATTTTTCTTGGTGTATTTCGGGGGCTCGACCCAAACGCCGTATAGGTATGTTAATATAAAATGAACAGACTGGAGCTTCATAAAGTAATAGATACATCCGTTTCATTCTACGCCAACAACAACAACGTTGTGTATCACTTGTTGCGCTTATCAGCGGCACTCGAATGAACTTTTTTATGGATTGTCAATAAAAAGTATTTGCGAAAAATGCAAAACAAAATACAAAAAAAAATTCGAAAAAGAAATTGAAAGGGCAAGCGCTGAGGGGTGAGTATTTTTAATCTCAGATTACGAATCGATATGGACAACAACAACAACAACAACAAGAATCTATAACAAGAAACTAAGAAGAAAACATGCAGCAACAATAACAACAACAACAACATGTTCTCGTTTAGCAAAACTAACGGTGACGCAGCATATCAAAAAAATTGAGCTCTAACGATGACGCTGCACAAATTTATGCGCTAACGAGAATTGACAACAACGAGTTGGAAACTCTCTCAGACAACGACAGACACACTGAGCGAGCGAGCTTTATGGCAAAACTAAAGTAATTTATGGCACCACAATATAGAAATTTCTTTCTTTTTTTTTTGGATATATAAAAGCATAAAAAAAGCAAAACAAAAAGCAAGATAAAAAATGTTCATAACAAAATTTGTTTTTGACTTTTTATTCTCTTTAGTGCTCATCTTTTGGTTTCTATCTTTAAAATTGCAAGTATTTGGACTTTTTTTCTCTTTCAAGTATTTTTTTGCAACTGCAAATGACAATTAGCGATTGGGTGGGTTTGTGGGTGGGCTAGTTCTGGCTAGGCGTGAAAAGGGTGTTAATTGGAAGTGTGTAATTAATGTTTGCGAGTTTGTTGAACTAAAGTGTTAAATTGTGTATTTAGGAATCACCGTATGTATATTAGATAAATGAGTGCTAATTAGTAATATACACATATCTCGACCTATACTAATTGTTGAATCATAGTGACAAATCTAAAAATTGCAATTCATTTTTATTTAAAAATAGATATTTTAATCCTAGGCTCAAATGTAAATACATATTAATATATATTTATTAATTATTTTCATTTCTGATACGGATTTGTTGACAGTTGTGACTAATTAATATTTATTACGTTAATTTTATAAGCAACCCAATAATCTTTAGTGTGATTAAAATAATCGGTTATATTAAAATTATATACCATAAACATCATAGACTTATAATATGTTCATGGGTATATTTTAATTGGGCTTATAGACTTATTGAAAAATGTTCTGCTTTTGTTTTTTCATAAATTTCGTATTGTTTTTTCATAATATTCCACAGTCCCCAATGCATACATTAAAATAATAGACGACTTTTTGTTTTTGTTTTTATCGTAGCAGCTTTTCTTTGTGTAGTTCTGGTTCTGTTTCTCTGTGTCTATCTCTTGCCTCCACACACACAAGCCCATAGAGAATTCTCAATTTAAAGCCGGCTTTTTTTTTATTTATTTGCTTATGTGCTTGCCTTCCCGCTTACTTTTGCTTGCGTTGTCTTCAAAATGAGTGCCTTATCTATGTATGTGTGTGTGAGCGTGTGGCTGTCTCTCTTCTCTTCAAACATGCATTCATGTGCGCTCCAAGTCTGGTTTTGAGCACTCTCTGAGAGCGCCACACAGCGACAAAAATATGTACATATGCAAACACAGTGAATTGATTTAAGCGTCGATTAACGCACACAGTCACACACAAACATACACGAATAGAGACAGAGACACAGAGCGAAAGCCGAAACATACGATATGGATATGGGGCAGCGGCACTGGCGTCGCGAACAGTGACAGCGACCGCAGCAGAGGCTTGGCGCTGTGTGCACGGTCAGCCAGCTAGGCAGCCAGCCAGCGCGCTCAGTGAAAAATTTCGTGTCGTCTCGTCGCTGCGTGTTTTCATTAATCAGTAGCACTAAAATGGTGCGCAAGTCCGGTAGAGTTAAAATTCCTACTAGCCGCGACGTTGGCAGTATTCTGTTGCGTGGCAGCAAAGGGGGTGCCAGTGGTGGGCGTGTTAACGATGAGGAGGCAATGGTCAGGCGACAGCACCAAAGGCAACGGCGACGTATACGACGGGACAGCAGCGCCAGCAATTCAGCCTCAAGTGATGGTGTGTGCTCATGTGTGTGTGTGTGTGTTTCGTATGCGTGTATGTGTGTTTTCTTTTTGCTATTTGTGTTATTGCGCGATTTGTTGCCATTTTAATTTATAGTATTTACCTTGTGTCTGTTTTTCTGGTACACACTTATAGAAAAATGTTTGCTTTATAAATATTTTTGAGTAGCTTAAAAAGTCTAAGATCAGTTCCCCTCAAACTGCGCAATTCGAATATTGCATTTTGCGCATGCAAAGAAAGTGAACGTCTAACAAACGGTGAAAAACAATTAACGGGCTCCCCAAACTGTAAGCAGTGCTGCTCAGCTGCGTGTACATGCCTATTGGTCAGTGCTTGTCCAACTGATATTTTTGTGCTGCAATATTGTAATTTTAATATTTGCTCTACAGCACTACAACGTTAAATATAAATATGTACATAGATAGGCTGATATACGCATCTATATACAAATGTTTTCATATTTGTTTTTTTTATTTTTTATTTGAGCGAGTCTGCAGATATTTGACCAGTGCTTTTAAAACTACACGTACGCCTATTGCTTATTTGTTTTGAGTACAATGAATATCAAACTATTGTTAAATTATTTATTTATTTTGTGCGTTTTTTAATTATAATTTTACCTGCATTCTCTCCTGTACAGAATCGGCGGAAAGTCAACTAATGCATGCGGAGGCGCTGCCGGTGGGTCATCCCGCTGGCTCGCCGATAGGTCATGCCCTCAGTCCCAATGGCGTTGGGCTCGGCCTTAGCAATAGCAGCAATCAGAGTAGCGAGAATTTTACGCTCTGTAATGGCAACAGCAACGCCAGCAACAACAACAACATGTACTCACCGAACAACAACAACAACAATGGCAACAACAGCCAACAACAGCAGCAGCAACAACAACAGCAGCAACAACAACAACAACAACAACAGCAGCAGCAGCAGCAGCAACAACAACAACAACAACAGCAGTCGCCCACAGTATGCGCAATTTGTGGGGATCGGGCAACGGGCAAGCATTATGGCGCCTCCAGCTGCGACGGCTGCAAAGGTTTCTTCAGGCGCAGCGTGCGCAAAAATCATCAGTATACCTGCAGGTGAGTGTAGCTACAAGATATGTTCAACGAAAGCATCTAAAAGTCTGCGCCCGCACAGATTCTCGCGCAACTGCGTCGTGGACAAGGATAAGCGCAATCAATGTCGCTATTGTCGTCTGCGCAAATGTTTCAAGGCGGGCATGAAAAAGGAGGCGGTGCAAAATGAACGCGATCGGATCAGCTGCCGACGCACCTCCAACGATGATCCCGATCCGGGCAATGGCTTATCCGTTGTCTCGCTGGTCAAAGCGGAGAACGAATCACGCCAGTCGAAGGCTGGTGCCGCCATGGAGCCCAACATAAATGAGGATCTCTCGACGAAACAATTTGCCAGCATCAACGATGTGTGCGAGTCCATGAAACAGCAGCTGCTCACCCTAGTCGAGTGGGCCAAGCAGATACCGGCCTTCAATGAACTCCAGCTGGACGATCAGGTGGCACTGCTGCGCGCCCATGCGGGTGAGCATTTGCTGTTGGGCCTCTCGCGTCGCTCCATGCATCTGAAGGATGTGCTGCTGCTCAGCAATAACTGTGTCATCACCCGGCATTGTCCAGGTAAGACACAATCTAATTAATTTGTTTGCTAACTTGGCTAAATCTCTCCCTCTCTCTCTCTCTCTCTCTCTCTCTCTCGGCAATTGCAGATCCACATGTCTCGCCCAATTTGGATATATCGCGTATTGGAGCGCGCATCATTGATGAACTGGTGGTTGTTATGAAAGATGTTGGCATCGATGATACCGAATTTGCCTGCATTAAGGCCTTGGTCTTCTTTGATCCCAGTAAGTGGAGTTTTAAATATGTTAGCAGCTGCTATTAGAGATGTAGTCGATCAAAGTTTTGCATTCATATTCCGACTGCAGATTGAACCGCTTAAACGCGACAGAGATTTTTGCATAGATCTCAATAATGAAACCCAGTCCCCAATTTTATAATGTGCACCTCTATTAGATTTTGCGCCAAATAAAACTCATTTGCTTGCTTAATTGTAGATGCCAAGGGTCTCAATGAGCCGCATCGCATCAAATCCTTGCGCCATCAGATACTCAACAATCTGGAGGATTACATTTCGGACCGACAATATGAGTCGCGTGGTCGCTTTGGTGAGATCCTGCTCATTCTGCCGGTGCTGCAGTCGATTACCTGGCAGATGATCGAACAAATACAATTTGCCAAAATCTTTGGCGTAGCGCACATCGACTCGCTGCTGCAGGAGATGCTGTTGGGTGGTAAGTGGCTGCCATAATCCCAACTATAACAGTTTATTAAATATACATATACTTGACTACAAACAGGTGAGCTGGCAGACAATTCGCTGCCGCTGTCGCCGCCCAATCAGTCCAACGATTACCAAAGTCCTACGCATGTCGGCAATCTGGATGGCAGCCAGGTGAGCTCCACACTGGACACTTTGGCCACAGCCAGCAGTGGCACGCATGGCCTGGATCTGGACGTGCAGCATATACAGGCGCTCATCGAAGCCAACAATGCGGAGGATACATTCCGTGCCTATGCGGCCAGCAATGCGGCAACGGCTGCCGCTGCTGTAGCTGGTGCCACGCCCACGGCTGCTGTAACGCCCCCATTAAGCAGCGCCGCCTGCAGTCCCAAATCACAGGAAAACACCTATATGGATGCAACGGCAGCCCGTCAATACAATGTGCAGCACAAGAGTCAGCTAATGCACAGTCCGCAGAGAGTGCATCCCTACCAAAGAGTGGCCTCATCGCCGGTCGATGCCGGCCTGGGCATGCGCAATCCGGCGGATATCACGCTTAACGAATACAATCGCAGCGAGGGCAGCAGCGCTGACGAGATGTTGCGTCGCACGCCCCTTAAAATACGCGCGCCGGATCTGCTGGCGCCCACCTATGTGATGGGTGTGTAGCCCTATATCTAATTTCATATATATTGTCTGAAACTAATCTGTGTCCACTCTTTTTTTCAGAGCCATGTCGCATGACGCTCAAACAGGAGCCCGAAACGGGCTATTAACTGGTGCAATAATCTTAGCTACACACATACACTACTCTACTTCCCAATCCTGCTGTCTCCTCCCCATCACCTCTACAGGCCCCGTCTTGCTAGCTGCTAAGTGCTAAAAAAAAATCAAAACACAAAAACTTACTTAATTGTTATTGCCTTGAACTTTTTGATACCGTTTTTATTAGACTTTAAGTAGGTATTTTGGAAATTGTTGCTTATTTTGTAAAACACGCAATTGCAATCTATTTTTATACATGATTATGATTTTTTTTGAGCTGAAATGAAAAAGAAAATCAAGTCAAAGGATTTGCTCTAAAGTTTATACTAAACATAGCACGTACTGTTGTCAGTTTGTTGGTTATCTTTATTATACATATTATGCAGATATATGTATATATATGCAATACTTTGTTTTAGGTTAGGGTGTTGTTTAGTAGTATAAAATATATAAGTACGTTTAATCGATAGTTGATGAAAAATTGAAGAACTATTTTTATATGAATATATATATAAATATATACTGTATGTATAAAATACAAAATAATTTAAAGTGGCTGAGTGAATAAAAAAAAACAAGAGAAAACAAGTATTGTACACAAATTTTAAAAACTTGTTTTTATGTAATTGACCGGTTAAATTGATCATTTGGTTTATTGAGATAACATTTTCTCTTTAGAATGATATGTTGACAACACTTATTTGAATAACAGAACAGTCGCGCGCCACTTACCGAATTTAACATTTATTAAAATATATCGATATTAATCTAAATCTTAACATTTGAAGAGAGGAACGAACAGGTGACATATCGATGTGAATTCATCGATATAAAGTTAAGCTATCGATGGTTTGACACAGAACTCTCAGCTGACGAACAGCCCAGCACTATTATTTAATGTCATTTCATTTTTCGTTGTGCGCAATAAAGTGAGCTGTTAGGAGACCAGAAAAAAGAGAATAATATCTGCTAAAGCAGAAACAGCAGCTTGTAAAAATCGCTAAATTTTGTAAATTTTGCTAAACAATTTGTAACTGCTAATAAAAACAAAAAAAAAAAAAAAATTCTACAAAATACACAGTGCAAAAGGCAAAGGCTAGACGAAATAGCGAATCAAATATGTTTGGCCATAAATTCATAATATGCACCGCATTGCTCCTGTTGAGCAGCTCTGGTGAGTAAGCCTAAAACTAACCCCCAGTCCGCGTGACGCCCGCAAAAACCTGTGCAACTCTTTGTTCAATTTACTTTTGCTTGTTCATCGCAATTTAATTTCTATTTTGTTTTTTGTTTTTCGCCTATTGGCGTCTCGCTTGCACGCACGTAACCCGTTCGTCGGGCCGATGTTGGCTGTTTTTGTGGTTTTATCTACAAGGGCTGATGAAAAACAACAAAACTAAATCGCATGTAGAATAATTAATACTTATTAAGCGTATGTATGTGCATTTGTGTATGTATATGGGCTTGTGTATTTTGCAGCGCATCGACATTTATCTGGTTTTAGTGTGACACTCTTTTTTTTTTTTCTTGCGGTTTGTGCAGTGTAGGACAAAGTGCTAAAGTAAAATCTAACAAGATGGTGGCTTAGTACCGCTGCAACAAAGGCGAGCACAAAGGCAAAAGCAAATTGCAGCCAGAGCGCTGCTGCAGCTTGTCTCCACTTTATGCACACATACACACACACACATATACACACACAAATGCTGCTGCATATGTTTGCTTGTATTGTATGCTGCGCTTATCTAACCAACAAGAACAACTAGAACGTCGGTGGGTCCGTTCTACCTGCATAGAGCATGAGAAACGCAAATGGCAGATAAAGCAGTTTGATTTGAGGAAAGGTCTTAGCTCTGTCTGCCGCCAGCAGCAATATCCACCCGCCCCCGCATTGCCCCGCCGCACTACACACACACACACACACACATATACACTAACATGCAGGCATATTCAATTTCTCACTTCTGTCTGTCTCTCTTTCCGCTGTGCTCTGTGCCTACACTTTGCCGTCTTCTTTTGTGCCAGGCATCAACTATTTAATTATATTTGATTCACAACAGCGTTTAAATTGTTATTTATTTAACTTACTCGCTTGCCCGAGGCACAACCGCCCCTCTAGATATCCCCCTTATCAGTTTGCCATATGCAGGCATATTTGTGATATCATGTAGCAGCCGGACTTTGGTAATCCCCTCCAGCTAATTGTTGATTGTTTATGGAACTGAACACAGTTGATGATCTGTCATTATTTTGCTACCCTACCCATCGAATATGGGTAAATGGGGTATATTGTTAATAATTTCATTTAAACTTGAAACTGTTTTCCAAAAATGCATCCTTCAAAACAATATTCTAATATTTAAATTTGGTTTTTTATTAGTTTCTGTTGAATCCTTTCGAACCGACTCGAACTGTGCTCTGCGCATATATATAGTTTTTTTATTAAATCGCGTATATAATTGTTTGTTCGTATCAGTTTAGTCTATATTGTATTTATATTTCAATACTCTACGTCTAATCTAACTCTTCGTATTTGCATTCAGCAAACAAAGACGCAGAAAGTGACCCATTATTGTAGATGATATATATATATATATATAAATATTTGTATATTCAAGTATTTAGTTTCAACTGCGGACAAATCAAAATACGTTTATTTCAATCGCTGATAAGATTTGTCACGCATACTTCCATATTTACACGAACACACAGTTGCCTATACTTGTTATAATGCCAAAAAATGCTCAATTTGGGTGTAAATAGATACCACAAAATGGTATATTAATATCAAATATAAAGTCATATAATATAACAAAGGCTAAATTTAAAACTAATTTCATGATTTCGCCTGAGATATCAATATAAAATATATACATTTATAAATATCCTATCTCAAGTCTGTCTGTCTGTTTTTAGGCCAAAGAAACGTGGAATTGCCATTAGAATAATTCATTTGCTGTGGTATTTTCTGTGCTCAGCTTAGTAAATGCCTTGGCTATGTTAACTTTTTCATTTTGCTGCACTTTTCCGTAAAAATGTTGCACAGTGGGAGGAAAAGCTTAAAGAAAAATTAGAAAAGGAATTTGCTTTCAAGTTTAATTAGAGGCTCGTCTTACTCACAATACTCTCGCATGCCCATGGCCAATAAATCTTATTAGCTGGTGCATTTTCCCGGAATTTTCCAGTGGCCTGTCCGTCCGACTGTCCGACTGTCTGACGGGCGCATTTGTTTCGCTGGGCTTGTCTAGTTATTTGCTGTTTGCTGCCGCTTAACTTGCATTTAAAGGTCATCTCTGGGCCGTGTTGCAGTGGCATTGAACTAGAACGCTGGGCACGGACAGCCGGATCAGGGCGTGACTGCAACCAGCTCAAATGTATCTGTGAGTGGGTGAATGTGTGTGTGTGTGTGTGTGTGTGTGTGTGAGTATGGGGGGAGAGTATGCACAGAGTCTAGGGAGAGGGCAAAATAAGTACCCAGGCCTTGCCTAGAAGAACAAACACAATGTACTTATAGTATATTTAAGCCGCGTTGAGTCATTAACAAGCTGGCAAAAGGCAACAATATTTTAAGCGAAATTCTTGTTGACGAATTGTGCGAAATGTAACTTTATTGATGAAAACTGTGCAAAGGCAACAAACAGAATGCATTCAGCCTGTTGTACTCTGTTCAATTGGAGCAGGCGAGTATATTCGTTCGTTCGCAGTCACCAACCCAAGAATCAAGCAGACCCTTCGATCGATTTAATCGTTTATAAAACTGTGCACAGTAGGAAAGCGGAAATAGAGAGTATCTATCAGTTGGATTTGTCCTTGGAAAATCATTTGCTGCCTTTATTTCTGGTAATGGGGCGTGGAAATTAGTACGCAGGTCCAAGGTGTAACCCTTTTTCTTCATTGGGCAATAATCGCTTTAACTAAATTTATGTCATTTGCTGCCACCTTTGCACCCTCCCGCGAACCCCCAGCCCCTCATCGTTGGTCAACGCAACGCTTTCTGGTTATTTGGTTATCGGTTGTCGACTGTGCAAATATTTATATTATTCATCATTATGACTCAGCCTGCGCTCACAGCTGAAGCAGGCAGCCCTAGAGCCAAGAGCGCGGATACAATATAATGAAATATAAAGCGCGAACGAAATAATGTTATTCATTGCAACACGATAATTATATTAAAGTTGACGATTCTGTATGAAATGGCCGCACAGATAGAAAGCGCTGTAAGCTTTGTTTGGATGGATATATATATATATATATATATATATATATATATGTGTGTGTGTGTGTGCACATTTTAATTGAATTATACGTTTGTATATTTCCATAGCTATTAACAGATATCGTGTTAAAGCTTTGGCATACAAAATATTCAGGGGAATATTTATATATTATAAGATATATATTTCTACATACGTATGTATGTAGATAAGCCTTTTAAGCCCTTACATGTAATATAAAAATAATACGATAGGAAATAATCCTAAATAGTAGAATTATCACACTCTCGAACTTTAGTTTAGGTATTCTTAGTAAAGTCTCTTTTAAAAACCACTAAACAATATTTAGTTTCACGAAGACTTTAATTTAAGTATAATTTACATGGAAAGAAGAGCGTGAAGGTTTAATATTCATTTAAAACTGCAGAATGTGGAAAAGTGCATAAAGCTAGTAGACCCAAAAGTAAATCTGATGAACTGATTAACTCTCATGTCATTTACACAAAGATAAGAGTTGTTAAGACACTGTTAAACTAAAAACAACTTTTAAACGCGTCTCTTTTTCTCTTCTTACAGCTTACTCGCAGATTTTTAGCCTCAAGTCGGCAGAATTTCCTGAGGTGAAAGATCCACTTCAATCAAGCACTTCAACATCCACAACCCCTACTTCGATCAGCAGCACGACTACCAAGCCTAAGCCCACTAGCTCGAGCACTTCAACAACAACCACCACCACAACAACAACCACAACGACAACCACTGTGGCACCAACAACCAGCACCGAGGCACCGGTAACCACCACGCCTGCTCCAGTGCCGAGCACCACGCATAAGCCACAACCGTATCCAGCACCAACTGTGGGCTCATGGAACTGCTCTTGCATTATGCTCAACATGGCAGCTCAGCTGAACTTCACCTATGAGACCAAGAGTGAGTCCAAGTCCTAATTCTGTCAAATTATCGAATATTAATTTCTTTTGTATCTCCAACCCATCGCAGGCGGCAGCATGACCAGTGGATTGTACAATGTGCCCAGCAACGCTTCTGTGGATCATTGTTATTGCAACAGCCAGACCACGCAGTCCATGCAGCTTAACTGGGGTTCCAGCATCTCACCGGAATCCTTGGTCCTTCAGCTAGAGGACAAGAACAAATCCATTGCACTCACCTTGATTACTGTCAACATGATGGTGCCCACAGAGGACTTCCCCGATGCTAAGGGTAAGTGCTTATAATATATATGTGGACCGTTTTCTACACCTTCTTGGCA